CCAGCAGATGAAGCACTCACTAAAGTTGACTTTAAGCCAGCGTACAAGAGGGCCCTGCAAATGAAGGATATTAGGCCTCAAACATGAATTGAAATGTACATTTATTGTCAGAAATTAGAATGTCTTAATAGATGCTAAAGAGTTGGAATCTGAATCAAAAGTGAAATCTATTTTACGCAACGCTCAAGCCCCAGTAATTTCTTAATTTTTGTGATATTGTAGAGTCAAGAACAATTACCCATCATTAATAATGCCTTTAATAAAGAATGACTTTAATTAACGAACGTAATTAACCAAGAGGAAAAAGCGATAACTAGAGATAAAATAGAGCATGTAACCAAACATCAAAATGGCCATTAACCTGAGCTTTTAAAAGAGTAATTAACAATTCATTGAACTGGGCATCAGTCATCTAAGAGGTCATCAGTCAAGGCTTTAAACAACTGAGCAAACAGAGCATCAAACAGTTCATCAAGGAAAGGAGCATCAACCTAGAACTTAATTCATGAGCAAAAATTAAAACTGACGAATTGCTTCTTTTTGTCGCTCATGAGCTTGGAGAGCTCGGTCTTGCCGGCAGACAGCTCCTCTTCATTGTAGGTGAAGTCTCGTACAACGAACCTTTAGGAGAAAACCGAAAGTTCTTGTTGTGAGCCAAGTAGAGGTTAATTTTTTTAACAAGATAGCATTCATGCAACCAAGAGGCAGAAAAATACAATACTGGTAAGAAACATATATATATATATCTAGAAATTCAGTTTTTATAAATTGGTTGATTGAATAATCAATAACATTTGAGGAACTAATATAGAATTTGCTATAACAAGATCATGAATGATGTCTCGCAGCAGTAAAAAAATCGTCAAGGGTATACGTGGATTAATAATATCCTCACTTGTTTTCTCTGGCGTGTAGCTTGTACTCATCAACAACTTTATTTCAAGGATATACGTGGATTAATAATTGAATGAAAGCTGTGGAAGCTAATCTGCATTAAATTAAATATATGAGAGAAGAATATACGCAAGAGCGGAAATAACATTTAGATCGTATTAATTGACTGTAGATTTACCTGGATGGGCTGCACGAGGGGCTAGTCACATAAAATTGTGTGAAGACTTTACTTTGAGCTGCCAGACGATCGATGGCTGGGGACTGCGAGGTTGGATGACCGAAAGCACTGAGGTCTCCATACCCTAAGTCATCAACTAGGAAGAGCACTACGTTAGGGGGGCTTGCATTATCTGTATACTGGCGAGACGAGGCATTCGACTTCTCGGGACTTCTATGTTGTGCAGTATAATATGTATTGGTACTGCCATTAATGATCGAAGACTCTTTGGTGTTACTATCGCTTTCATATCTTATAAACACCACGCTCAGTACAACCGCACCGACGCATACGAAGAGGAGCACAAGCCCTGTAGTGCTCATTTGAACTATTTTCTTCTAACTGAATTTGAAAAATAATTTCTCAATTGATTGAATTATTAATATGTCGCTAAAGTATCTACACCAACCATGGTCACGTCGATGCTCAAACTGACAGCAAGGCCTTGTAATGCGAACAAAGTAACGACTCAACAGCACCAGACGTTACCCTGGTCAAACGACCTTGGTAATGGAGAGCTGAGAGGAAGGCATTGAGCAGATTCCTTAATGCAAATTAGCATAACAGACTAAGATTTAATTATTAGTATTTCTCAATAGGCACTAATGGTTATGAAAAGAGGTTTGCCATGCGTCGGAATATTTTTGACCAGCTGCACTAACAGACAGAATAGCTTTTTCATGCCGATTCCTACGTTATCGACCCGTCAAATGAATTGTTTGTTTATTCGCTGCCCAAACTATTTCAGGAAGGAATGTTTTAGATGGTTAAAATTTCAGGAAGATAGAAATTCAGAGAATAATTATGAGGTCGTAATATTTCAAGTTTTATTTTGCACCATGAACACGAGTCATGAAGAAAGCAAGACTAAAAACGTCATAAACTGTAATACCGAAAAATTATGATATATTACAATTAGAGTGGGGCACGATTTTGCCGAGTGTCTGATGACATTGTCAGTAATTTTTTTTATATTTCGTTGATTGAAATTTGAATAAATTTTTAATTTCCCACAAAAAAATGTTTGTATTGAGGGACTTGAAAAATTGTATCGAATTTTTATCTTCTCCAAGACCGGTCCCTTGTAAATTTATCTGCCCCTTGAATATCGTCCTCTGCCCCAACGGCGGTGATGTTGCCCATGTTGCCGACTGCTGCCCTAACTTATAACAACAAATGGTCAAAATAAACTACACGTTTATGAACGGGCGCACACACATGACCAGCCAGTACTAAAGTCCAAAATTATGAATGGGAGATGCTTTTACAGTTGACGAGTTTATTTAGTTTAATGTTACTTTGGTCGAGTTTAACATTACAGTGGTCGACATACTGGTTGAGTTTTTCTACATGAATATTCTTATTTATCGATACACCAAATTTTCGTCAATCACCATACATCGACGCTGCTCCAAGACACAATGGAGGCTGCTGGTCTTCACCCAAGACGTCACTCCCCCAATATATTAGCACAATAAGCTACGAGATAGTCTGGTCGTGGGGCCTAAATAAGTTATTTTATTTCGGAAAGAAAAAAAAAATAAATAAACTCGTGAAACATGACGAGCAAAGAAGATGAATATTTATACCTCCTGATGCAAATAAGACCATTGTGTTTACTCGTGAACCCTGAGACAAATATTCTCACTTAGTATTGGTCTTATAAGTCAGGAATTGATAACGTCATGGTTGAACTCTATACTACTACTAGTTCAACCGTAGATAATGTTCTCTTAAGCAGAACAGCAACATCCGCAATGCTGTATATAGAGCTTGCCTGTGCATGGTGTTGATGTGAATTATTATTTTCTTCTGTGTTAGTCGCAAAACAGAACTTCAACGCTCCGTAAATGCGTGGCCTGTGGATAATCAATCTCAATCGCACGATAAAACGGGAGAGAACTCAAATCAGACGTTATATTGATGGTGGTGAATTATTATCGGAATTAGATGATAATTTAAAACACGTTAAAAATGACGCGGCATTGATGCTGAAGAGTAAAGACTACAAACTATTCATGAATCTTTTTTTTTAATAAGTTTCCCAGCCTTAATTGGCAGTAGAGGGAACAGCAACACGTACGGTTTATGTGAACTTCCAAGACCATAGGTCCAGTAGAACTGTGCACTGAAATCCTTTAATCAACCGTCTTAAAACTCTACCAACAGGAAAATAGAAACATACCTTAGAATAAATCGCGACAATCAGTCGAAAATGAGCACAATAAAAACGGCTTTCATAAACAGAGATCGTCGCTCATTTTCGCTCATGCACTAGTAGCTGGTCCCATGGAGCAGGACCTAAAATTCAGAATAGGATACTGTTTGTTGTGCTAAAAATTGATTCAGAAGCCCGTCTGTTTCAATAGTCGACGGATCTGGAAAGTATTAACTTCTACTTCCAAGATACCCCTGTACACTGACATGAAAAAGCATTTATGGCAAAAAGACACTATGCCTGAAGTGCTCGTTTTGCGCACTAGACCATTCGGATACATTGTGTTCCTCTTTCAATTTTAAAACATAATTTATCATAAGCTGAGCCTTCAATAACTTAAATAGATTGTCCACAAGCCAGTTAGGTCCCACGTTTCACATGAACGTCTAGTTTCTTCACTTGCCTTTACTAATCAGATCATCACTACGACGAGAAATGTGGTGGTCAATTGATCATTTCTATTTGTCTGGGCAGTCACAACATGAGGGGAATGGATTGCAGCGGCGGTCGGTGCAGCAGGGTTGAGATCGTTCTTCGTGGTCCTGCGTGGCTGAAGTCATCCAAGTCATGTCAGCCATGTGCTGAGTGCGCCACGCAGTCAACTTCATTAGTGAAGATCTGAAAAGAAGTTACGGAGATCGAAAAGAAGCCTTTATTAGTGAAGATCTGAAAAGAAGTTACGGAGATCGAAAAGAAGCCAACTCACTCAAATATGCCCATTTAATAATATAAGCATAAAATTAATCTACGATTGAACCATTCTTTTCATTATGGAGAAGAAATTGGGCACGTTGAAAGCAGTGTTGATGTTATTCATCGACGGCAATATTTATCTTCAATTTTACTAAATTTTTTTGAGGAATGTGTTCACTTGATAACTGCGCAGTGCCAGCAGGACATTTAAAGCGTCAGCGCAATCGTTTCATTTTTTCCGAAAATGAAAAACTTCATTTGACTCTGAATTTTAAATAACTCGTGGGTTTTATTCATTTCTGTACTGCACAGTGACCGTTTTAATGTCAGTCCAGTTGCTGCAGAAATGGGCTGTCCAATAGTTAAAAGTAATTGTTATTTAACGCGGAATTTTACCGAACTCAAGGAATTAGTTCATAAATTTCATGGATATAATGTTCCTTTTAAAATAGAGTAGTGAACGATATTATGAAGTATAAACTTGCATGGAACAAGCACGCATCTGAAAATATATATATTTTCCATCAATTATAAATTAAGGTACCGTTGGCTGGTATCGTTGGCGATGTTCCAGCGCTCGCCAGGATCAACAGACAAGTCGTAGAGAAGAGGCGGGTTGTGCTCCGTGAGAGGATGTCGTGATGTGCACATCTCGTCGTAGTTCTGATCGTCCGAGAGTCCTGGCGAAAAATATCAACAAGTGGTTGAGAATTAATCGTACATCGATAATTTTAGGATATAAAAAAATTTTCGTACTGAAATATCATCAAGTTAAATGAAAAGGGCGTTTCGTTCATATATTGACACAAATTCAGGCAAATATCTAGTTTGATCTAATGAAACTATTCCGCTATAGATTTTCGACTGTCGTGAGAGCATGTACATGTACAGCAAATGAATATCACGATCAAAACTTGCCATTCCCAGCAGTGAAGAAATGAGCCTTCAGGCGCTGGTAAACAACGGCGTACGGCCCAGTTTCAGGGCTGGGATCCTTGGGGTACACCGCGAAATATTCCCGAGGCGACTGGTAACATTGGAAGAGTGGTTATAACAGAGGGCTGTGCCAGCGAGCTTTGGACATCGTTAGGCCACGAATTTTTTTTTTTAGAATTTAATTGAAGGTTATATCCTGAGCTGCTAGACAACGTAGGTACAACTCACAGGAATGTTATCATAAAACGTATGAAGCTGACCGCGTAGGGTTAATAATGGTGAAAGAAGTATTGAAAAATCAATGAATTAAGGGTTAACATGAAGAAAATAGGTAAACGTGAGCATTTTCTAATTAGGTTCAAATGAGGCATACATACAATCGTTTCACTATAGGAAAACTTTATAAATAGTTTCAACTCCCGTGCTATAGAAATAGTTATACCTTAGAAATTTTGTCGAGCAGGAAATCTGAGGCGTCGAAGCCGTCGAGCTTGAGGCCGCTGGTGTCAGCGCCGGTGAGCGCAGCGATGGTCGGCAGAACTTCTAGCGAGCTCAGCAACTCGTCAGTGCGGCCTTAAGCAAATACGTGCTTTATGAAATAAGATTCCAAAATAAGAAAGCCGTGTTATCCGTACATAAGAAAAGTACAAAATCTATAAGTTAGGGGAACTATAGAGCAAGATAGATTTTTTCAATTGCATGAGCATATGTTTAGTCTTAAAATGCCTCGTACCCTACGGAACAACTGATATCTAGAAGCTATTTTATATCTACCGTCCGTTGAAAAGATCTGATCAAAAGGCCAGTCTAGTCAAGAAAAGTACAAAAATCGGCGACAGGCCTATCCAGGCCTATTCTTTAAATGCCGAAGATACTATACTATACTATACTATACTATACTAATAGAGACGACTGTATATTTCTCTTACCAGGAACGATGTGCCCCGGCCACCTGACGAAGGCGGGAACCCTCACGCCGCCCTCCCACGACGTGCCCTTGCCGCACCGCAGCGCCCCTGCGCAGCCGCCTTGTTGACGATGCATTAAATCTGGCCTTAACAAAATTATAAACTGTGTGAATAAGCGGGTTGAATAAGTGTTTATGATTGCAAAATGATATGTTTGTGCAACTGGCATTTCCATTTTTCTATACAGGCATTTTTTTCATTACCACTGTAATCTTGCTATTTAGAAATTGACGTTCAGTACAATTTTTAGCAACTATTTAAGAATGTCCTACTTACGGTAATTTTCCAAAAATCTCTCATATAAGCCTTACTCTTCCCATCCCACTGTAACAAAATATTTTTTCTCCATAGTTCAAATAATGTGTCAGCACACCCATTGTCAGAGAGGAACCACACGACGGTGTTGTCGGCGAGGTCGAGCGCGTCGAGTGTCTGCAGGATGGTGTCGATGGAGTGGTCGAGCTCCAGGAGAGCGTCGCCGAAAGTTCCTCGCGCGGATTTTCCAACGAATTCCGCAGACGAAAAATGGGGAGTGTGAACCTGAAAATAATAAAAATTACACTTTCATTGACCGTAGGGGTAACGGCCCTTGAGACTATGGTTTAAAAAACGGGAAATGCACAACTGTTGATTTAAAAAAAAATAAAAATGGGACTCTAATTGACCGTCAAAAGTTACTCGTCCCTTGAGACTATGGTTTAAAGAACAGAAAAGGCACAACTGTTTATTTACTAAAAAAATCGGGATAGAACATTTGATAACGTACGTGCATGAAGGGCATGTAGAGGAAGAATGGAGCGTGTTCCAATGCGCTGACTTCCAGAAACTGCGTGGCTCGGGCTAAAAGTTTGCTGGCGAGAGAAGACAATGGCGTGGGCTGTTCCACGATCGTTGTGTTGCTGGAAAGAATTTAGAGGAAAACTTAATTTACACTATCCAATAATTCTTGGATCAAGGCAAGGAACGAAGGGAAGAATTTCAAATATTACTGTGCCAATGGGTTGTCGGGCTCTAGCACGCCAGGGTAGATGCCGGAGCGCACCTGGTACCGCCCCGTCAGGAGGGAAGCTCTAAGTCCAAAAATTGAAATTTTATCCAACGGAAATCGTAATCCTTTATAATTGCAATTAAATGGTCGTAATCATTCAGATTATTAAATTCAGACACTCTATCCGTCACAGCTTACAGACAAAGATTGTTAAGAATAATGCAATTTCGAATCGACTATTGTGTTTGAAGATCTGTACCTGGATGGGCTACATACGGGGCTGGTGACGTAAAATTGTGTGAAGACTTTACTTTGAGCTGCCAGACGGTCGATGGCAGGGGACCGCGAGGTTGGATGACCGAAAGAACTAAGGTCTCCATACCCTAAGTCATCAACGAGGAAGAGCACCACATTAGGAGGCTTTGCATTATATTTAAGCTGCTGATTGTATTCCTTAGACTCCTCAAGCTTATTGAGCCGCTCCGAGTAAAATATCTCTTCTTTACCGTTTATGCTCGAAACCCCATTGGCAGTATTATCAGCGCCCAGATATTTCCTTAACTGCGCACTCAGTACAGCGGTACAAACGCAAATGAAGATCACCACCCCTGTTGTGGCCATTTGAGCGATTTTCGTTAAACAGGCTTCGATAATGTCCCATAAATTAACCTAATGTAAAGAAAACGTTGTCTCCACACCACCCTTGATCACATCGATGCTTGTACTGATAGCAAGCATGAGAACATCGAGTTGATCTAGAGTTGGCGATACTGGATGATATCTCCTCTGTATTCGGAGGTCAGACACTCAACTTAGGTAAGGGCATGATATACTCATCTGATGTCTTGATAGCCAGCTTATGTGTACATTATATGCGCTCTGCACTGTCAGAAAAATTACCGTTAACGCTATTACCGGCGTTAACGGTAAATTACCATAAACGGTATTACCGGCGTTTCAGTTGCCGGTCGGCACGTGAAAAGAAACACCGAGTTGCCGTTTTTATTCGAATTTAACACACAAAATCCGTAAAACATCTGATAAAAATGGCGAAACAGTTTATTTTCACGTGTCGACCGGCCACTAGAACCCCGGTGGGACCGTTTTTTCATCGTTTTTTTCTAACAGTGCGACAGCCACAATATATTTGCAATGCCACTCTTTAAACACACACACAAAGACACAAACTTTCTAAAATATTGATAAGATTGTGTCTTCCAAGGAAGCTTATCCGTAGCATTCAGGCAAAGAAAATTTTTTGCATGATCGAGTCTGCTTGGGTCACTATTGAATTCCATCAACCAGGAAAATTATCGTGTATATTATCTGGACCTGAAAATTTTCTTTGCCCTTAGTTGGAGAATAGCAAGGCACGTTCGCAGTTGTGTCATCAACCTGTGTCAACTTATACCAATCTGTGTAAACCTTAGCCAATCATTGTCAACCTCTGCCGAGCTCTTGGAAATCAACGTCAATCTGCTTCCTAAATAAACGCATGTACTGAACAATCACTACAGGCCTTTATGCGGCTGATGCAGCAGCTAGCAGGCTTGGCAACAAAGCTAATTGGTATCTGGAAACAAATCTAAGACTATTGTGATCTTAGATTGTGAATAGATCTCAGTTTCATTCCTAAGAATTTCAAGAAGATTGCTGCGCCACGAATTGACAATTTCACTGCCGGAGCGTCGTGCATTTCAATCCCATAAGTTTATTTTAAATTGAAAAAGAATTTAATGCAGAATATAAATAATGTTAAATATTACAATGCTTGTATTTCAACTTGATTTTAAAGCGTTAATGCTTATCAAATACTAATATAAATAACTATTTCTTCAACTTTTGCGGCTTGTCACCGGTCTAGCATTTAGAGTTTAGACTAATTGGTACCGCTGTGCACGAACAACACCGTTCAGTGATAACATTTGGTTATAAAAAAGTTTGTATGTGACGACAAAAGAGATTATATACGCTAACGCACAAAATAGTACCGTAAGATTGAGGGAAAGAATATATGGTAACAACGCTAGATTTCTTTCGGTGAGATGTAGTGGTATATATAGTGAGGACGCAGACCGATAAAATAGAATAGTATAGTATAGTATCTTCGGCATTGAAGAGTAGGCCTGGATAGGCCTGTCGCCGATTCTTGTGCTTTTCTTGACTAGACTAGCCTTTTGATCAGATCTTTTCAACGGACGGTAGATTTAAAATCGATTCTAGTAGGAGCATATAGTAATAGTAGTAGTAATAGTAGGAGCATACCGTAGTAGTCAAAATAGGTGAGAAGAACGAGATAAAAGGGTTCGTATATCATAAGAAAGTTAATATTTAAGTACAGAAATCACTTTTCAAAGCTCATCTCTATTCAGATGGAGCTATGAATCGTGATTTTGGTGACAGCCCCATCTGATGAATAGCTCCCTCACTAGATAGGTGGAGATGTCTCCGTAATGTGTCAAATAAATTATTGTGAATATCCATGTCATTTGTGAACTTACATGTTACAAGGCCCGGTTTTCTTCCGCCCTAGTGAGCGGAAATTTCGACCTTGAATCAGTTGCACTGCGTGATTTTCAGTCATTGTGTTCTTTGATTTTCTAGTTTATAGAGCCTTTTCATGTCGACCAATTTCATACATGTTGTTTTTATCATGTATTACGATTATTTTAAGGGGAGCGAGTTGTATTAATTTTATAAAATTTTGAATCATAGTTTGTGGATCCATTTTGAGTATAATTATAGTAAATGCGTCAAATTTGCATTGCAACAGTTTTTCCCACTGTTTATTTTCGCATCTGTTTACGTCCAAATTTTTTCAATGATTAATAATTTTAATTTCATCAAATTGGCCCTCCTAGATGTAAAGAATCTTAGCTTTACATCATGAAACAGGCTTAATTTTATCTTGCATGAACACTCTGATCTACAATCAGTGAAAAAATTGAACCCCGATTACGACTTTTTGGGCAAACAACATCGTTGGATGACCTGATAAAATATACGAGCTGAGTTTACATAAATTTGAGAAGCTAATGGTTTGTGCCGCATCTCTCTCAAGGCAACATGAGATGAAACTTCAACTGGATGCTTTAGGCTTACACTCCGGAAGCAACAAAGATTAAATCAATTAAGAAAATGAACTTTTTGACTGTCTGTTATAGTAAGAATCGTGTAATTGTACCATCCATATATACTTATTAAACCAGAATTTTCAAGTATCCAGTTTTAACCAGTATCCTACTTAAACTCTTGAAATACAATTATACATTGTAAGTTTCTGCTAGAAACAACCATAGAAAAAGTTCAAATTTTTTACTTAATTAAGTAAAACGGTTCATACATGTAAATTCATCACACACAAATTAACAAAAAAACAGAAATCATAAATGTATTAATTAATAATTAACAATATGAATAAAATGAGACGAATTAATAATATGAATATGAACTCAATAAAATTGCAGTATTTTGAGTTTGCATGATAAAGCTGCATAAGATTGTTAAAGCCTGTCTTTACTAAATCATCATTGATGATGTCGAGCTGGAAAAATTATAAATGATCCTCACACCAAATTAAAATTATTTTTTGCTGAAGCATTGAAATGATTTTAATGCAAAGACTTGTCCATAATTAGTGAGATTATGCATTGTGAAATTAATTTAAAACATTTTAAAAGTTATAATGATGTTTATATAATGATTTTTTTTATAATTTAATGTTTACCTCATATGTAATTAGCAAGAATATTTATTCATAGCAAAAGTGCGTGATTCTTTTTATAGAATTTTTTTATGAATATACATTTCGATTTTTTATGATGTTCGTCTACATCTACATGACAATAGGGCTCGCAGTATTTATATTTAAATGCTGCGATCAATTTAATATTGGAAGGGAATGGATTGCAGCGACGGTCGGTGCAGCAGGGTTGTGATCGTTCCTCGCGGTCCAGCGTGACTGAAGTCATCCAAGTCATGTCAGCCATGTGCTGAGTGCGCCACGCAGTCAACTTCATCAATGAAGGTCTGAAAAAGTAATGCACCATCGAAAATAAATTATTTTCAAGTCGAGAAACTCCTTTGAATGTTGACAATCAAAATTGAAAGCTTTTTCCATTCTTTCGGTGCTTGTCTTAAACTATTTGGAAAAAGTTATGAACAAATTATATGAATCAAAGAACGCGAATATTGTTCTGTTTGATTAGGTGGTGCATACGATGAGTTTTAACGATAATTTACCTAGCAATGGTGACAAATTCTAATTCTATTCACATCTGAGGAGTGAGCGTACTTGAAGCTGGAGTCGTTGGCGATGTTCCAGCGCTCGCCAGGATCAACAGACAAGTCGTAGAGAAGAGGCGGGTTGTGCTCTGTGAGAGGATGTCGTGAAGTGCACATCTCGTCGTAGTTCTGATCGTCCGAGTGTCCTGACGAAACAATCAACAAGTGGTTGAGAAATAATTATCTATTGATAATTCAAGGATATAAAAAATAATTTTTAGTGATAAATATGATCATATTCTACGAAAAGGACGTTTCGTTCATTTCTTAGCACAAATTCTGGCAAGTATTTAATTTGTTCTAATGAAACATTCCGCTATAGATTTTCAACTGTCGTGGAGCATGTACAGCAAGTGAATATCGTGATCAAAACTTGCCATTCCCAGCTGTGAAGAAATGAGCCTTCAGGTGCTGGTAAACAACGGCGTACGGCCCAGTTTCAGGGCTGGGATCCTTGGGGTACACCGCGAAATATTCCCGAGGCGACTGGGAACACCAGGAAGGGTGGTTATAACAGAGGGTTCCGCGAGCGAACTTTGGACATCGTTAGGCCACCAAAATTTTTTTCAGAATTTAATTGAAGGTTATTTCCAGAGCTGCTAGACAACACAGAACGCACAGGAATTTTGCCCTAAACTTGGACATCGTAGAACGCACAGGAGGTTTATGCCAGCGAATATTGGACGGGGTTAGGTTATACAGAAAACGGTAACAGTTTTTTTATAACATTTGAAGTCGAGGATGGACAGGTTATATTTGCTCTGAATATTAAGAATATAAATTTGTGCCTAGAAAATATACTGTATATGGTTGTTTTGAGAATATGACATTTCTATTGGAAGTCCTGGGAAACTATAGCTACATAAACTATAGGTGGCAGATGAAGGATTCCCACAAGTAATAATCTATCAACAGCTAACGAAATACGTTTTTTGAAAAATGGGACATAAGTTGCATTCGTGGATATAGCGCAGAGAGTGACAGAGAGCGCATTTTCTCGTCGACGAAAACGTGAAATCGCGGACGGACGGACAGACAGACGGACGGACGGACAGACGGACATGGCGAGCACAATAGTGCATTTTTTTCATAAATGAGAAAATGCGCTAAAACATGAAGTAATCTGTGAAATAAATTTCACGGACATAAATTACTATTATACCATGAAACTTTTGCCGAGCAGGAAATCTGAGGCGTCGAAGCCGTCGAGCTTGAGGCCGCTGGTGTCAGCGCCGGTGAGCGCAGCGATGGTCGGCAGAACTTCTAGCGAGCTCAGCAACTCGTCAGTGCGNGTCGTCGAGTTTGTCGCAGTTCGTCCAGTAATGACCTGGGCACTTTAGCGGTCCGCACTCGCCATACACGTCAACCGCTAAGTATTTCTGCAGCTCAGCAACATATTTATATCTGTTATTTGGGTCGCCACAATTGGAACCCATTATGGCAACATTTTTACGTTTCATTTTATAATAATCCTCTGTCGTATTCAGCCACTCATTTTCAGGTACTGAAACAGTTCTTCCGTACGGCACTGGTACACTCGAATCCATTCAATAGTTCATTGACCCTGTCTCTTATACACATCTAGATGTGTATAAGAGACAGGGCGTGGGCTGTTCCATGATCGTTGTGTTGCTGGGAAAATTTAGAGAAAAAACTGATGTAGTCCCTCAACTAAATCAGGTGCCAGAGAAAAAATCATAGGACACATTTTTAAGTATGGCTGGGCAAATTGATATTGTCCCTTGTCCATTCCACTTATAAAAAAGCTACGAAATATTCAACAATTAGAACAATATCACCCCTTACTTCGTTAATCACAAGTTTAAAAGAGTGCACCTACATATATAGAGGACACGATACGTGTCCACTCCAGCACATATCGTAACAAGGCTTGTCAGGGAAGCAGGCGTAGCAGGGGCACATGTCGTGGCTGTAGGGAACTCCCAGGTAGTCGTCGAAGCCGTGGTGCGCGGGCAGATATTCTCCTTCGTACCCAACGCCCAGGTGCCATTTGCCGACAATCAGAGTGCGGTATCCCTGAGAAATATATCAATTAAAACGATCTTTTCATTAAGCATATACCTAAAAATCTTAGATACTTCCTAGTACCAAACACAGTAGTAATGTTGGCCTCGAATCTTTCTTAAACTATTTTAACTGTACGAGAGAAACTAAGTTCTCTTGATACTATGAGTTTTAATTTCACGACGATCAGAGTGCGATATGCATGAATAGCATTAATGTTACACGCGATGAAAGCGTGGAAAAATTTTACTGAAAGAAAGCAAGTTAATAAAATTGAATTAGTGTAAGATATTGTTTCTTTCGCTGTTGTCCTAAATCCTTTGATAATTTCTCCTGTCGCCTTCTATGTCCAAATTCAAGGTAAAACAATTTATAATTCTTTGAAATTAATAGCATGCTTAGAAATGTGGTACTCAAACTTGGTTTTTAAGGACTTCCGCGATGGTAGTTTCGTTGTGAGGTAGCCCTCGAGGGTTGTCTGGTCTTATCACACTGGGATAGATGCCTGAGCGCATCTGGTAGCGCCCCGTCAGGAGAGAGGCTCTGCGACGGTCAACATGCGTTATCAATTAAAAAAATATAACTCAGTACTCACTGCAGTGAGTGACAGAGAGCGCATTTTCTCAAAATCGACGAAAACTTGAAGTCACGGACAGACGGACGGACAGACAGACAGACGGACATGGCGAGCACAATAGTGCATTTTTTCCATAAATGAGAAAATGCGCTAAAAATATAACTCAGTACTCACTGCAGTGAGTACTGAGTTATATTTTTTTCCATAAATGAGAAAATGCGCTAAAAACGACGACGTTACAGAGCAGTAACCAGAATAATTTCTATTCATACAGCGATTGAAATTTTTTCTTTGGAAAACGATTTCTGCCATCATTTTAGAATCATGCCATTTCAAATTGTTACTAATCGCAACCATGAGTTTATTCGAAGAAATTGAGCCTCTGATAGGTTTTGACCTTATCTTAAAAAATAAGCAAGTAGTACTAGACTGCCGGGCCTATACCTACAAAAAAAGTTAAGAGATCGTAAGTTCATCAGCCAATCATTGGTGGCCTTTCAAGCAAAATCCACCGATCATAGACAAGAAAATAGAGCGTAAGTAATTACGTTCACTTAGTAAGTTTTGAAAGTATCGCCCCAGACATAAAGCGTACATGATTGAAATGACCCCTCCCTGCCTCCCAGTATGAGGGGGGTAGGGAGGGAGCATTTTTGACGCACTTTATTTCAAATTTGCCCGTGTCCGGCCTGAAAGGTATAAGGTGGTAAGTGCATGCATTTGTTCCACACTCGCCCCAAGGTCGCCAGGGAGAAGACCCGATACTAATTATACGCTTATTTAGTTTTGCGAAACAAAACAAAAGGATGACATAGAGCCGCCAATTTACGTTCAATAAGAGCTTAGGGCGTTTCATAGTTGTGATCACATAGTATTATTGCTTGCGCAGTCACAACAGGGAGAAGACCCGATACTAATTATTTGCTTATTTAATTTTTCGAAATAAAACAAAAGGATGCCACAGAGCCGCTAATTTACGTTGAAATAGAGCTTAGGGCGTTTTATAGTTGTGATCACATAGTATTATTGCTTGCGCAGTCACAACAGGAAGGGAATGGATTGCAGCGGCGGTCGGTGCAGCAGGGTTGTGATCGTTCCTCGCGGTCAAGCGTGGCTGAAGTCATCCAAGTCATGTCAGCCATGTGCTCTGTGCGCCACGTAGTTAACTTCATCAATAAAGGTCTGAAAAAGTAATACACCATCGAAAAGAAATTATTTTTAAGTCGAGCAACTCCTTTGAATGCTGACAATCAAAATTGAAAGCTGTTTTCATTCTTTCGGTGCTTGCTTTAAATGATTTGGAAGATGTTATGTATGTACAAATTATATGAATCAAAGAACGAGAATATTGTTCTGTTTGATCAGGTGGTGCATACGATGAGTTTTAACGATAATTTACCTAGCAATGGTAACAAATTCTAATTCTATTCACATCTGAGGAGTAAGCGTACTTGAAGCTGGTGTCGTTGGCGATGTTCCAGCGCTCGCCAGGATCAACAGACAAGTCGTAGAGAAGAGGCGGGTTGTGCTCCGTCAGAGGATGTCGTGAAGTGCACATCTCGTCGTAGTTCTGATCGTCCGAGAGTCCTGGCGAAAAATATCAACAAGTGGTTGAGAATTAATCGTATATAGATAATTTTAGGGCATAAAAATATTTTTCGTACTGATAAATGTCAAGTTGAAAGAAAAGGACGTTTCGTTCATATATTAGCACAAATTCAGGCAAATTTCTAGTTCGATCTAATGAAAATATCCCGCTATAGATTTTCGACTGCCGTGAGAGCATGTACAGCAACTGAATATCCTGAAGTATAGTATAACATTTTATAACATCAAAACTTGCCATTCCCAGCTGTGAAGAAATGAGCCTTCAGGCGCTGGTAAACAACGGCGTACGGCCCAGTTTCAGGGCTGGGATCCTTGGGGTTCGAAGCCGTCGAGCTTGAGGCCGCTGGTGTCAGCGCCGGTGAGCGCAGCGATGGTCGGCAGAACTTCTAGCGAGCTCAGCAACTCGTCAGTGCGACCTTAAGCAAATACGCGCTTTATGAAATAAGATTCCAAAATGAGAAAGCCGTGTTATCCGTACAGAAGTAAAGTACGAAATCGATAAGTTAGGGGAACTATGTAGCAAGATAGATTATTTCAATAGAGACGACTGTATATTTCACTTACCAGGAACGATGTACCCCGGCCACCTGACGAAGGCGGGAACCCTCACGCCGCCCTCCCAGGCCGTGCCCTTGCCGCACCGCAGCGCCCCTGCGCAACCGCCTTGCTGATGATGCTTCAAACTTGGCCTGAAAAATAATTACGAAAGTCGTTGGCACGGATCATGATGAAAATATCATAATCAACAACTTAATCGGACGGTCAGGCTAGTACTAAGTATATCCGATCTTTTTACATCCATTTTCCCTTATTATTCTCACACATCGGAGCTACTTCTTAGGAATTAAAAGAGAGCATTATTCCATTGCGATATCCGTACATACTAATACATTCGGCTTTGTATTTCTCATGCACGTCTCAATTTTCTTACAGCAGCATAATATTCTTCTCGATAACACAAATAACGTGGTACTAAAACCACACCCATTGTCAGAGAGGAACCACACGACGGTGTTGTCGGCGAGGTCGAGCGCGTCGAGTGTCCGCAGGATGGCGTCGATGGAGTGGTCGAGCTCCAGGAGAGCGTCGCCGAAAGTTCCTCGTGCGGATTTTCCATCGAATTCCGCAGACGAAAAATGGGGAGTGTGAACCTGAAAAATAAGTAAATGAAAGTTTAATGACATCCTAAGAAACTTTACTCCCGGCAACATTTGAAGAAATTTAGATTACAAGTTTTTTTAACAATTCCATTATTTTCTAACGATCTCATTCCATATTTTAGAAATATCTATGTTTCCTGTGTTGTTACATTTGTGTGCTGTTTTTCTTCGTGCCTATCGAGAGGTATGGATCGGTATACAACCTAGTGTTGTTTGCATTGGAACTTAATGGTAGACGCAACTAGTTATCTTGGACGCGCTCTGGCAGTCGGTTTGTTTACCGCCATACCTTCGTAATAATCTAATTTTTGTTCGAATGATCAATCTCAGTTTTCGTTATGTTTATTTTAGTTTAAATTGCAGGCTCGCTCTTACTTTGCTTAGGAGACAGACTTTGACTAGTCTAGTAGCTACTTCAAACTATCGCCAGTCATGAAAAGATCCGGTCAAATGACATGATTTTAGATCTTCTGTGAACAAGGCACGAAAAGGAAAAGAATCGGCAACAGGCCACAACAGGCCTACGTACGCTTCAGCGCCGACATCACTATGTTATGTTATGTTACATTTGTGTGCTGTTTTTCTTCGTGCCTATCGAGAGGTATGGATCGGTACACAACCTAGTGTTGTTGGCATTGGAACTTAATGGTGTGCGCAACTATTTATCTTGGACGTGCTTTAAGGCAGTCGGTTTGTTTACCGCCATGCCTTCGTAATAATCTCATTTTTGTTCGAATGATCAATCTCAGTTTTCGTTATGTTTATTTTAGTTTAAATTGCAGGCTCGCTCTTACTTTGCTTAGGAGACAGACTTTGACTCAAGTCTTGGCTTCCCCTTTTACTGTGGTGTAATCACATTGGCTTCTGTCTGATTAACTTCGATAAAATTCTTTAATGAATATGCCTCCATTAGTAATAAGAACTGAGTTCTTGTTTGAGCTTAATTTATTGTTTGTATAAGAGTCAGCTATTCTTCTACTGTATTTTTTTCCATTATATGGGCTCTTCAATTGCCTCTTAAAATTATCGCAATTATGCTTTGTCGCAACAGATTTTTAAGCGATTTTAAAGAGGTATCAGTAAACTGAAAGTGTTACATTGAGATACTGTACAGTTCTAGGTTGATCTAATTCATTATTTGATTAATTATTGCATAAGCTTAAAGCTGTTGGCCTGTTGCATCATTAATGTCATAGAACAATTGCTGCTTTACTGGGGTCCATCCGGGACTCTCTGACGCACTGAAGAGACTTCGTAATTTTACATTTTCTACTAATTTGTATTGTGGTATGTGATGTTTTGAGTAATTAATTGTTGATATTATCCATTATTGAAATCTTTGTCAGCCAGAGTAATTAAACTTTCATAGCTGGAAGCTATGGGCTCTGTTTATTTCCTTCAAATAAAGTTTGGCCGTTTATTCGTCTGATGCGACGAACCTGAAAAATCATCGACTAAGCTGTTTTGACCTTACTTCCGAACCGATTGTCATCGAATCTGATAGATTTCTTGAACCTACTGGATCAGGGAAAGAGTTCGCAAATAAAAGTTTCTTTCTATATTCGGTTTCCTATTAAAGCCTTATTGTACCCACACAGTGAAAGCAGGTTGCCAGCGTGCTGGTTACCTGCTTAGGCTGGCGCCTGAAATTGAAATAAATAGGCCTGGCGTTGTGGCCTATTCGTAAAGGTTTTCACTGTTCACAGTGAAAACCTGTACGAATAGGCTTCTGTATTCTATGGTTTCGGGCGCCAGCCTGAGCAGGTAACCAGCACGCGGGCAAACCTGCTTTCACTTTGTACGTACCCTAACACTAGAGCGGATGATCACGTACGTGCAAGAAGGGCATGTAGAGAAAGAAGGGAACGTTGTCTCTGGCGCTGACTTCCAGAAACTGCGTGGCTTTGCCTACAAGTTTGCCAGCCAGAGGAGGCAGTGGGGTGGGCTGTTCAATGATCGTCGAGTTGCTGGAAAAAATATTGCAAATATTGTGGATTTTGAACACTTCAATTTGGCAGGTTTTACTACGTATAGGAATGGAATGAAAACATACACAATTAGACAGCACAGCCAAGATTACTGCAAAAAACCTCATGCAAGGGAATTTAAACTAGAAAAATCAAATGATTCTCAATAAATAACATTATATTTCTTAGAAATGTTGTGGAAATTGTTCGTTATTTTTCTCGATTCCATATAAGACAGTAATTTCTCCTCATGGGCAAATGTTTACTGCTTACTCTTTAAAACAATAAATAGTGAAGCAGTTTGCATAGTTGATACCTGTATAAAGCGCATGTTACATTGGTACTCCAGCACATATCGTCACAAGGCTTGTCAGGGAAGCAGGCGTAGCAGGGGCACATGTCGTGGCTGTAGGGAACTCCCAGGTAGTCGTCGAAGCCGTGGTGCGCGGGCAGATATTCTCCTTCGTACCCAACGCCCAGGTGCCATTTGCCGACGATCAGAGTGCGGTATCCCTGAGAAATACATCAATTAGAACGATCTTTTTCATCAAGAATATACCTAAAAATCTTAGATACTTCCTAGTACCAAACACAGGCAATGCGAGGCAATGTTGGCCTCGAATCATTCTTAAACTATTTTAACTGTACGAGATAAACTAAGTTCTTTTGTTACAATGAGTACTAATTTCGTGACGATCAAAGAGCGATATCCACGAGAGAAAACCACGTTTCGCGTGAAAGTTATCTTATTCAAGTTTTTAAATCAGTTTTGGAATCTTATTAAAGTTTTTTACCCATAAGCAGAAATTCTACTGAGAAAATGTATTTAATGAGCTGACTGCTCATTTTCCAATCTTACCGGGCTATTAGACGTTTCTTTTAGATACCATTCAGTAAATCCCCAATTGAAGTATTCGGTGACAAATTTATGGGGAAGCTCCCCCAGCTATAAATTGTATATATTTTTTAAAATAATCATAAACATTAGTTATCATGAAGTTTTACTTTATTTTTAAGGAGTTCAGCAATGGTAGTCTCATTTGGAGGAAGCCCTCGAGGGTTGTCGGGCATCAGCACGCTAGGGTAGATGCCGGAGCGCATCTGGTACCTCCCCGTCAGGAGCGATGCTCTGACATAGAAAACATCAGTAAAAAATTCGACAAATTAAAGGTTATAAAAATTAAATACGCGTTTACATAGAACGGTTATAGCTCCATGAAGAAGTAGATTATAGCTGCATGCAAGAAGGACAGTTATAGCTCCATGCAAGCTAAGAAATGATATCACAAGACCTAATACTCAAGGTTACTGAAAATACTGGCTTCATGCCAAATTAAAACTAGCTCCAAATGAGACGCGTATGTTAAACAGGGTTCATACGTAGGAGACTTACAAGGAGGCCAATGATGGTACCGAACTTTTTTGACTTTTTACAAAGCAATCTTCATACGACAAGATTAAATCATCACATGCTTCATAGTACATTTGAGAAGCTAGCACTACAGCCATCAACACAAAACTGAATTGTTATACCTGCTAAGATGTATCCACCAGTAATCTAATTTTTGTTGTATATGTATTTTGATAAATTTTAAATCCAAGAATTAGTGGCTAACATTAAAAACGTGTTAAATACTACTAGGATACTAAATGGATGATTTCAAACGAACGAGAGGTTGTGGAGCGAAAGCGCACACCGAGCTAAAGAAAAGGGTGGTCAAGTGGTTACAGTTTAGAGTACCATGCTTGGCGCAGAGAGGCGCGGGTTCGATCCAAGCTCTGTGCGTCAGTTTCTTGTCAGATCGGCAAGAAGGCCGGACGGTTAAGCATAGCAAAATTGAAGCAGTGAGTTGCGAGTTCAAACCCTCAACAAACTGTGAATGTTCTGCAATATTAAGAATCGGCGACAGGCCTACGGCCTAATAAACGCTGAAACCGCTATATTTATTAAACGCAGATGTTAGAGAAGGTTATAGCAGTCGCGTCCGAACTCCATGTAGCCTGTGCCAGTAAAATATAGCATGATGGATTTGCTAGTTTGAAAAATACAGGACTTGAGTGAACTATAATTTGTACGGCGGCTACAGATTTACCTGGATGGGCTACACAAGGGGCTGGTCACATAAAATTGTGTGAAGACTTTACTCTGAGCTGCCAGACGGTCGATGGCTGGGGACCGGGAGGTTGGATGGCCGAAAGCACTAAGGTCTCCATACCCTAAGTCATCAACTAGGAAGAGCACCACATTAGGAGATCTTCTATTATTTGTGAGCCAGCGATTCAAGTCATCCGACTTTTCAACTGCATCAAGCGATGCAAATTTATGCTTTTCATTGGTATATGCGCTGGGAATTTCGAATGGTTTTGCAGCAGATGATATGTAGCGAACTAACTTCATGTTTAGAAATGCTATACCAACACAGGTTAAGAAGAAGAGTAGAAATAGCACGCGCATTTGTCCAAATTTCTCAATTATTGCTCGACACAATCTAATTTTTAATTTATATTGTCGTAAGCGTCTCGCGAACGGAAATGCTCACATTGACAGCACGAGTGAGAATTTGAACTGAGTAAAGTTACAGCAGCACTAGACGTGATCTCTGCCGCACTGACAGCTGTGAGCTGAGTGACTCACATGAGATCTTAATCAATAAAATAGCTCTTAAATTACGATTCTTTTACCGCACCTGCACAGGTGGTCACGCTTAAATTCGCGTATTTTCTCATTTATGAAAAAATGCACTATTGTGCTCGCCATGTCCGTCCGTGACTTCATGTTTTCGTCGACGAGAAAATGCGCTGTCACTCACTGCAGTGAGTACCGAGTTATATTTTTTGAATATGTGTCGCTAGCAGCACCGTGCGTATTCTGAATTTGCGACGTGCTGCAAATTCATTCAAGACTCGAATCACAGGACATCTGTCTTCACCAAAAGCTCGCTGTAAAAAGCTCGTAGTCAAGAAGAAACACGGCCCCAGATTTTAGAAATTCATCATTGCGTTTGATGCATATTCTGAGGTTGAATCGTGTACGGAACGCGCTGAATATTTTAAATTACTCAAGAATCCAGCAATAATAAAAAAAGGAACTCGTTCACACGCTGTACAGACATTTTAACGACCCACACTAGCGAACGTGTTCACTGCTGTATGGGTAAGCACACAGTGAAAGCAGGTTTGCCCGCGCGGGCAACCTGCTCCAACCTGCCACAAGAATGAACATAGGATAATAATGTAAGTGTTCGCAGTGAAAACCTGTACGAATAGGCTTCTGTATTCTAAGGTTTCAGGCGCCAGGCTGAGCAGGTAACCAGCACGCTGGCAACCTGCTTTCACTGTGTGCGTACCCTAAGATGCTAGAGCAAATCAAGAGGTATGGTTGAGGCCCAGACCTGCTGTACTTTGAGTTCTCAGACAACGGCGAAGGGAGGCACAGAAATTAAACAAGTAATTTTTGATCACCATATAATATTCACACTAGACCAGCCGGACAACTGTACACTGAACATCACTGCATTGCTAAGGGATCCCTCATACATAGAAATACATCAAATAAATATTGCTCACTTTACAATAAATACACAGAACGGAATCCACTTGACCAACCGATATAAAAAATATTTCTAAACTATCATCGAAAATTTCAGAATATTTTCTAAACAGAAGACAATTTAAACATCACAAAAATTTAAAGAACAATTATGATTAAAAATTAGGTTTTTACGGCGCTTAAAATTTCCATACAACGCGCATGGCACTAAAAGAACAGCTTCAAACTTTGCGGCGTCATCCTCCAGACTGGAGAACAATACAGGAATTATTGAGGAATGTTAGGTATTTACACAAAAAACTTTAGCGATTCTCGATGACAAGCAACAATATATTCCTGTCCTCCAACCTCATTTACTGATTCAAGAAAGTAGTTCATGAACTATGGATTAAAATGAAGGTTGGAGGGTAATCTTTATGTTCAATAAAACTTCAGGAAGTTAACCCGTCCAAGGAAGTGCCAATTATTCGTCAACAAGAACTTCTATTTATGTTCACTGCATAAGCTAGACTCCAAGCATAAATATATACGTTCAACACTGTAATCTAGTCCTCTAAATGACAAGAGATTGCTGACTACTTCAAGTTTAAACCTAACTTACGAACTCATTATTACTCCAGCAAAAAAGTATTTTATCAATGGTACATATGAGCATACGCTTGCAGGCTGAATTAATGATAAATCGAATCTCGTTCATTGCAAAGCAATTTTGGCGGTTGGTTTGTTATGTTGCATATTCTTTTTCTTTTAGGCAGTTGAACCAATGGCTTAGAAATCTAACTGTAACATCGGAAATTGATAGAAAAAAAATGATTGTGGCTAGAGATCTAACGAACTGTAACATCGAAAATTGATGGAAAAAATGATGGTTGCATAACCGTTTCATGTTCTGTAAATTAAAGTCGTTATTCTGAACCGCCGTTGAGTACAAGATAAATTCGACACTTAAGAACCACGGTTTCTCTTTTTCATTGCCTTAATGGCTTTGTGAAGCCAAAAGCAATCGAGAAATAAATTTATATTTTGTGTTCGCTGAGTGGGTCGATGTTGAGTTTGAAGTACACGTAGGGGTAATACTCTCCGCTGCTGAAGCCCAGGCCTGGTATGTCCAAGGTCTGTGATAAAAAAAACATATTCATGTTTTAAAGAGCACTTTGATAATAATAAATAACGTTGTAAAATTAAATATGACATCGGCCTGTTGTGTCATGCACGTCTTGCTACAAATTGAAATACCCGAAGATTCAATAATTAAATCAAACAAAAATTGTAATCAATTTCTCGAATCCAACTAGCTGCATTGAATCGTAATCTTCAATATTGTTTATTTCGTGTATGGATTGAAGTTAATTAAATTCAAGAAAAATTTATCCAAATTCACTTTTTCATCCTAATTAAACTTCAGAAATCATCTTTTTTAGCACATGTGACTCAATTCAATAATAGCAAAGCAATAACATTAATAATAACAAAAATATAATACAATAACATTAATAATAACAATAACTGAGCATAAATACAGACTTCAACGTTGCCAGCCACGGCTGTTGAGTCGAGGTGAGCGTAGAGGCCACTCAGGACCTCCTTGAGGCGCTTCACGCGGCCCTTGACAGGCTGCATCACCACCACTTGGAAGTTCACCGGCAGTCCATACCTGGGCAACAATAATCATAATTAGTTTTGCTATGAGTGGTAATTCCTGCCTAATAGCTCTAGCTTGGACTAACTTAGCAGGAGTACGGTAGTTTTTAACTGCCTAATAGCTAAAACCTTGTATAAGGTAGCAAAGACCCTGTAATGTTACAGGGGTGCACACAGACCCTTGCACATGCAATTGAAAGAATGTTTATTGATGGAAACTCTACACTCCAATAGGCGGCTGCGTACATCAAACTGAAATAAATTTGAATTAATTCATCATAAAGTCACGCAATTTTAATCATGGGCAACAATCATGTTCTGCAATTTCTTCTAGACGTCACGACAGTCACCAAAACAAAAACCTGCATCTTTGGTTTTTCGACAAGTGACCTTGGAGTGAACTGAAGATTCCAAGACGAGATTAGGAGGCCTGAGAACAACAAAAAATTTCTCACCTGAGAACGCTCTCGACGAACACCCTGATGGCTTTGACGTGAATCCAGCAGATGAAGCACTCGCTAAAGTTGACTTTAAGCCAGCGTACAAGAGGGCCCTGCAAATGAAGGACATTAGGCCTCAAACATGAATTGAAATCTGAATCAAAAGTGGAATAGGTTTATCGCAACGCTTTAGTCCTTGTAGTTTCTTAATTTTTGTGATATTTTACCAAACATATTTTGTGAACAATAATTACCCATAATTAATAGTACCGTGATGTCTCTAACAAAAATAATTTCAATTAACGAACGTAATTAACCCATAGGAAAAGGTCATTACTAGAGATCACACAGAGCATTCAACAGTTCCTAAATCAAACAGAGCATTAGGTTGGCCATTTGCCAGAGCTTCAAACAGAGTAATTAACAATTCATTGAACATGTCTTAAACAGACATTACAGTATAGTACATGTCATTAAACAGACATCACAGCATCAAACAAATGATTAAACAGACATAACAGCATGAAACAGGGCAGTAAAGAGCATGAAACATAACATCAAGCAAGGCATTGAACAAATCATTACACAGGACGTAAAACAGAGCATCAAACAGAGAGAGCATAAACCTAAAACTTAATTTATGAGCAAAAATTCAAACTGACGAATTGCTTCTTTTTGTCGCTCATGAGCTTGGAGAGCTCGGTCTTGCCGGCAGACAGCTCCTCTTCATTGTAAGTGAAGTCTCGTACAACGAACCTTCAAGAGAAAACAAAAATCTAAGTCCTTGTTTTAAGCCAAGTAGGTACCTAGAGGTTAATTTAACATAATAGCATTCATGTTAACCAAGAGGCAGAAAAATACATTACTGGTGAGAAACGTATATATTCCTATGAATTCAATCTTTATGAAAGGGTTGATTGAATATCAAATAAAATTTGTGGAACTACTATAGAATTTGGTTTATAAGATCAAAAATGATATCTCGTAGCGGTAAAAAAATTTTCAAGGATATATAGTACGTGGATTTATCATATCCAAATGATATCTCATAGCGCATAAAAATTTTCAAATATATACGTGGATTTAAAATATCCTCACTTGTTTTCTCTGGCGTGCAGCTTGTACTCATCAACAACTTTATTAAAGACAGTGACAGAGTACAGGCCGTGCTCGGCATCCTCAAAGAGGAGATTGGAAGACCGCGGCACAACCATGTCCGTCAGGTGCTCGTACTTCGCCAGCCAATCCCCAAAGAGGTTCCTGATTTAAAAAAAAAAACAGTTAAAGGAAAAAGATGACAGTTCGTCTAAACTTCACCAATAAATTCAGCTACTTTTGATTAATTATCAATAGGTGGAAAGAAATACTATTAGATGAAAAATAATATGTGTTTAAAAATTATTTTTTAAAGACAACACTAATAAAGAGGCCAGTGACTCCGATGTTACACATGGACAATGTATTTCTCACTTTATTTTTCAATATTTAAAATTTTTTTGTAATTTTAAAATTATTTATTCTGTCAATTGATTCATGCATTGTCTCCGACTTAACCCAAATGTGCAAATTTTCAGATCGATTGGACAGGTAAAAGTGTGTTAAATATCAATTATAAGATTTGTAGTAGACAAACAACAAGAAGTGAAGTTAAAGAGAAGTGTTGTAATGAATATGATTCAGGTAATTCGTAAAAAGATTGCTACACTATGACAAAGAATTTAATTTCAAGTGGAAATGATAAAACAGTAATATGATCAGAATTAGATGGTAAAATACGGAAAATGAGATTTGCAAAATAATGTAGCAAAACTGTGGCGATTTGATCACTGCTACTTACTTTGGCACCACAACAAGCAGAGTCACCAGATATTCGCTGTTCTGAACAAAGTCTGTCTTTTTCACCAGTTCACCAAGGTTTCGTGTCAACAAGCTCCCACTGAAAATAACAGATATTGCACAGTTATTGAGTAGTAAAATCGTAGTTAAAATGTAAATTGACACAAGTAAGAAATATCAAACACATAGAACAAATATTAAGATGATAATATTATAAAATGAAGACTATCTTTTCTGGAAACGATAAGATTGAGGTAAAATATAAATATTTCATAAAAGACAAAGTAAATTATTTATATTACATAAATCAACGCATGGCATTTAAATTCTTACACTTGTTTTCGTTCCATGTTTGTCAGGTTTGACTTAAGATTGTTGTAGTTTTGAGCCTTGGCTTTGAGATCGCCTTCAATTTGTGATGCCTGCTGACCAATTGCATCAACAATGCCACGGAGGCTCTGTTTGACAGGGAATTTGGCCATCTCCCACTGGAACTTAGTCAAGTACGTGGCCAGGTTTACTGTCAGAAGCAAAAATTTGATTAATGGCTGGACCAAAAATTTGATTAATGGCTGGACATAAAATTCTTAAAAAATCATAACTTGATAGTCAAGAAACGGCTTTGATTGTATATAAATAGAGCATTCATCAGATATATATATACAGTGGGGGGAAATAAATATTCGTACACTTGAAAAATTGTATTTTAATGTAGGTATGTAAGTACACAAACTTAACAGGAAATCAATTGCATCAACAATGCCACGGAGGCTCTGTTTGACAGGGAATTTGGCCATCTCCCACTGGAACTTAGTCAAGTACGTGGCCAGGTTTACTGTCGTGAGCAAAAATTTGATTAATGGCTAGACATAAAATTCTTAAAAAATCATTCATTGAAAATCATAACTTGATATATAGGTAGTCAAGAAACGGCTTTGATTGTGTATGAATAAAGCATTCATCAGATATACACACACTAGTAAGTTTGAAGAATTGAATAGCTTATATAACAAATAGACTTGCAATTTTATAAATAATAAAATAAATAAAAAATAAGAAAGCAGACTTAGACATTCATCTATTCTGAATGTTACATCAATCCTCTCTTAAAAACATTGCTTTANATGCATAGGATTGTTACATCAATCCTCTCTTAAAAACAGTGCTTTACATGTGTGCACATGCAAAGCTAGAATTACTCACCCTGGTTTGCAAGGAGATTCTCCTGCAGCTTGTCACGCTGATCTTCCAGGACTTCACCAAGATAATGAGCCGTCTTGCGCATGACGCTCTCAACAAATGTGTCAAGACGAGCCAAATCATCGCTCAGACCCACCAACTGATCCAGAGTGCCAACCTAAAAATGAAATTTGTTTGAAGACATGTAGGCCTAATTAATTTTAAAAATGTATGGCCTTGATTTCATGGTAGAATATTGTAGGCAGATAGTCAAATATTGTTTGAAAATATTTTTACAACTATTCGGTTGTAACAAAAGTAATAAGGAAGTTTATGTATATAATAGGAGGAGGCCAGGTGCACACAAACAACAATAAAACAGGACCTTAGAATTTTTGAACAAAGAAAAACTGAATTGTATTTCTTTAAAATACAAGAAACATTTATAAATTATATTGGTGCCAAACAATTTCCTAACAAATTACTGATAGTTAAATTTAGAGAGAAAATTTGTGTAATTAGTCTAGCAACCTTCAAGTCAGGAATGTGGAAAGGATGGTTGATGGAGAGTTGGTTGTCGATAGCAGTTGCCTTGTTGAGTTTGTCATATGTGTTCTGAGGGGTCTTGTCTCCAGGAGCAGAAATGAGCCAGTATTCTGATCCAGACATGTTGCCTCGCTTCCTCCTTGCCCAGTGCTCGAAGTCCTAGCACACTCCTGCAAAGAGAAGACTCTTCAAATTAATGATAAATTAATGATTTTTCTGATGAGCAAATTGACATTCTTACAATGCACCATTAAATTTACTTTTTATGAAAAATGATACAGAAAATAAAGAAACCAAACACCATATTTAGTCATCTAGGAACAAAATTTCAATGTTTAATAAATTGAAACGTTAGACTATGATACAATTACAGCACAAGAAACTCATGAAATACTCCATTTAGTATATTGCCCAAACTTAAATTTTCTGAGGGATATTATTAATACCTATACCATGTATTTTAAAAGTCACACAAATTTTCTTATAGTCTCTCATAAGGTTTTTACTTGAGATCATGAATTGAATCAAGAGAGATGTATTCCAGTCAAAAGTTTATCAGAAATCATGGATTATAAACAAATCAGTGCTAGTAACTGCCATCTGATAGGATTGTATCTTCAGCCTACACTTTGCCATAGGTACTTCTATATGAAATGTGTTGCTAAAAGCCTTGCAATCAATTGTCCAATTGTAATCTCATTACCCAATTGTTACCAAAGCACATTAACACAAACTAAACAGATTTTAAATAAATACAAAACTCACAAAATTTTCTAAGGTAAAGATTAAAAAATCTGTCATGTTACAGAAATTTCATTGCTCTTAAGCAACTTTAGTTTGAGTCAGCTCTATTGTTAAGTTTTATTACCGTAGATAGGAGATTTTTCATCCAGCATACATTTGGCAACTCACAAAATTGTGAGAAAGTTCTAATTTTGGCTCTGAAAGAGAAGATTTTTATCTTCCTCTCCACAGCCAACAGCAACATAATGAACAACTCATTACTTTAAGAATACATGAGTGGCTTGGAAATAGACGTTATTCAGTATACATTTTCAAGCCAAAAAATGTTAGTAAAATCAGGTAGTTTCCCAAATTTCATGGTGGAATTAAAAAAAGGATAAATGATAAATGAGTAAGAATAAATATCATTTGATATGAAAACCTGAAACCATTCATTTCTTTATTACTTGGCAGATATGTTTGAATTGAATCAGTAATGCTGGAGTCCTAATGCTAATGTGAAAGTCACTTTTGTCACCACAGCACCTGTACTGCAGGAGGGAAAAAATATGATTTTTTCAGAAATCATGCTGCTCTAAAGATTCACCTTTTTTACTGAATTGGAAATAAAAATATTCAGGTTTCAATGTCCTGCATTTTGATTAGATCAAAAATTGTTCAGTTCATAAATGAAAGAAGCATGGTATCTGAAAGACTGAAAATGTGAAACATGGGTTCCAAGATTCAGAAAATGGTTTCACAGTGTGAAAAACGAATAAGGAGCCACAAATTCAAGAAAGTCATTGCTCCAAACAGACAATTATAGCTCATATAGTGTGGCCCATTTTCCACACTATTTATAGTGCAGGCTTGAGGCTCTAATAATTTTTCTAAACAAACTAAAATCACAACAATATAGCAAAAGCCAAGCAAATTTGGATTATCATGTTTAATAGAAATAGGTACTACAAACTGAAGTTCTGGCACAATCAGGATATCAGGCTGATTTTTGTAAATTGTTCAATGGCCAATGTGTTTGTGAAATAATTGTTTAATGGCCAAACTGAAAAATTAGACAGAACTTTTGTCTAATTTTCTAGTTTGGCCATTAAACAATAATTTCTTCCGTCACAGAAGTAACCTATGATTGAGATAAATTTGCCTACAATTTTCAACAATTTTACCTATTAGCTATGACCATATTTTTTTCCCAAAAATTTCTTAGAAAAATTACAGATTTTACTTGTAATCTTCACATCACTTGTGGAACAATAATTTTTGCTCAAAATTATTGGAAACTTCCAGCCAATATTCCACATTGGTTTCATGATTGACTTCCTAGAGTTGTTGGTTTAAATAATAAGGCCAATTAGGCTATTATTTTAAATTTTCACTTGAAAATTTAGAATAATACCTAGTCTATTTTCACTTGAAAATTTAGACAAAGGCAAGCGTGGAAAACATCTCCTTTTAGGGCTGCGACTAGAGCTTTCCTGCCATTTCCAGAACCGTGAGATTCCCGCCAGATGAATTACCTCCTATCTAATTGTTAACAAAAGGACACGATCGAGCCATGAGTTTCCAAATGTATTAAAAACTCATCACGCCAGAGCTGCAAGATTTCAAAAACAAGTAGGAAAATTCCAATCCTGGGCAAAGGTACAGGGTGCGCCAGAGAAACTTACTTATTTAAAAAAATTCCTGCACAGTGAGTTGGGCATGTAGAGGGGTGAGAGGGGGCACATCTGAGGGGGAAAGTTCCTAAGTTTGTTCCTCAAATAAATTGGCTGTTGTGCAAGAATTAACTGAATGCAATTTTGTTGCCCATCAAAATGTATATGTAATGCTGGTTGAAAACCTGCCTGAAGACGAGGCAATTTCTTGATTTCTTGGTTGATAACGAGGCCTGAAGACGAGGCAATCCACGTGAGCTTAACCAGAAGCCACTTAACTGTGAGCAAGTTAATGTCTGGTGTGCAATGTTGGCAATGGGAATAATTGGTCCTTATTCTTTTGAAGAAAAGAAACACGCAGTTACCATTAATGGAGCTTGTTATAGGAACATGATTGAGGAATTTTTTCTTCTAAGACTTGAAAAATTGAACGTTAGGAACATGTGGTTTCAGCAAGATGGAGCCACAGCATGAGACTCATTGAATTTGTTGCCACAACATTTCCCCAATTGCCTCTATCTCTCTAAGAGGTGATCTCCAATGGCCGCCATGCTCTCCAGATTTGACTCCAAACAATTTTTTTATGGGGTTATTTGAAATTTCTTGCTTATTTCAATTGACCACAGACCATAGCACACCTCACTGACCTCAGGCTCAAGAACAACATTCGCAATGCCATTGCCAACAACATAGCGATTGATATGCTGCAAAAAGTGGATACAAATTTTAAAAAATAAACTTCATTAGTCTATATGCAATGGGGATCACCAATTAGTATCTGATGTCATTTTAAAAAAACTGTATGAAAAAAAATTGGGAAATTGTATTCTCAAGTAAAAAAATGTTAAACAATAATAAGTTTGTTTCTCAAATAAATTGGCTGTTGTGCAAGAATTAACTAAATGAAATTTTGTTGCCCATAAAATGTATGTGTAATGCTGGTTGATAACCTGCCTGAAGACGAGGCAATTTTTTTTAGTGACAAGGCTAACTTCCACATTTCCAGCTGCGCCAACAAGCAAAACATGCATTATTGGTATGGTGTAAATCCACGTGAGCTTAACCAGAAGCCACTTAACTGTGAGCAAGTTACTGTCTGGTGTGCGATGTTGGCAATGGGAATAATTGGTCCTTATTCTTTTGAAGAAAACGAATACGCAGTTACCATTAATGGAGCTTGTTATAGGAACATGATTGAGGAATTTTTTCTTCTAAGACTTGAAGAATTGAACATTAGGGATGTGTGGTTTCAGCAAGATGGAGCCACAGCACTGACAGCACGAGACTAATTGAATTTGTTGCCACAACATTTCCCCAATTGCCTCTATCTCTCTAAGAGTAAGAGGTGATCTCAAATGGCCACCATGCTCTCCAGATTTGACTCAATACAATTTCTTTTTATGGGGTTATTTGAAATCTATTGCTTATTTCAATTGACCACAGACCATAGCACACCTCACTGACCTCAGGCTCAAGAACAACATTCGCAATGCCATTGCCAACATAGCGATTGATATGCTGCAAAAAGTGGATACAAATTTCAAAAAATAAACTTCATTAGTCTATGCGCAATGGGGGTCACCATTTAGTATCTGATGTCATTTTAAAACTGTATAAAAAAAATTGAGAAATTGTATTCTCAAGTAAAAAAATTTTAAACAATAATTGTGGTAGGCCTACTTTTGTTTTTACTGATGTTTACTCTGGCACAATTTGTAATTCTGTATTAGTTGAAGAATAGATTGTCAACAACTACAAGCATAGGCCCTCTCAGGCTCTCTGTCTCATTCACAGAATCACAGCCTTTCACAGGACACAGATGCCCTGACTCTGCCTTTCACAGGTGCCCTGATTTTCTTACAACTTAGCCTATGTCAGTAGGCCCTATGTGGATTTAACCAACAAACAGCAGGGTAAATCAGTATCTGCTAATTAGTACGTAAGTAACTAATTACAGTAATGTGTTGAGTGTTGACAGTAGCTAATTAGCCTTAATATTGAATAAATAAACCAGTATTCCTAGAATTCCACACTATTTAAATTCAAACTTCCACTGTCCACACTCCACAGAAACGTCAAACCTAACCTAATAGTAATAGGCCAAGACGCCGCCAAGTCCTATGAGGCTAAGTTTAGTACGGTTACTACGGTATGGTATTATTGTACGGCCTATGATAGCCTACTACAAAATATTAAAAAGTGGTTTTGAAGCACGCAGATCATCATCAACTTAGATCTAACAACGACATGATTTATTGCCAATTTTGCAATTTAAATAGAATGTTATAGTAATATTCATATTTCAATAGGCTAGTAGAAAAGAAGTCGCACAACTACCTAGGCGTTTCTGAAACGAAGGAAAAAAAATTCGTACAATATTTTACTGTGTTATCTAATGATGCCGTTTATTTGACATATTGCCAAGTGAAAATTGATCAACGTATTCGATTGACATAAAAAACTTACGTTAAAACGCTTCACAGAGACGTTTCCACACGCTCATCACCGCCTCACGAGAACACAGCTGAGCAATAACAACAAGACCCGATTCTATCACATGATCTGACGGGAATCAGATACTCCTGAAATATCTATAAATTCTTAAATAACACTATTCATTTATTGTTTTCAAGATGTCTTAGAGTGATATTTATGAACAAATTATCCACTCATTATTCTTTCTATGTAATATATTTTGAAGGCTGAAGATTTTGTCATACTAATTTTAACAAATTAGAGCGGCCACAGTGAGCATATATATCAATATTGAGATCCAGGTTGTTCTACGAAAGAACGAATATACATAAATTATTTATATAGAAGAATTTATTTATGAACTATATATTATACTAAAAAATCACCACTGTTTGTATTGGTTATTGATAAAGTTTGAGAAAACATAATTGATTTAGGCAAATGTTTCATGGTTGAAATAAAAAATAGTAATAATAATATAAATCCCGAATTTACTTCTCAATCATCTAATTTTTTCAATACATATACTACATTTATGTTTTTCTTCGATACACATATAATTCAGTAGACTGAATAGTCTTATTCAAAAATTTAAGTTTGGTTCTGGGAGTCTGGGCTGACGTAACTATCCGCATAATCATGTTTCCACTCATAAAATATACAATTATTCTGCACTGTTCGTCTGATTTTGTACACATGATCTCATTAAAACTTATTAATTAAAACCCCAATTTAAATATTATCGTTATGCCGCCCTAATATCCACTGCGAGATTTGTCAATGTTGCTCGGTGAGACGGGCTCGAACTCCATGCCTGACTTCCACTTAATTAAAACCTTATTAGGAATATTTCAAATTCAAACACGACGCCCAAATCTGCAGTTTTTTGCGGGGCTTTTTAGCGCATTTTCTTATTTAAGGAAAAAATGCACTATTGTGCTCGCCATGTCCGTCTGTCTGTCTGTCCGTCCGTGACCTCAAGTTTTCGTCGACGAGGAAATGCGCTCTCTGTCACTCACTGCAGTGAGTACTGAGTTATATTTTTTTTCGAAGTTGCGATGCATCCGACATTCTCCACGCATCAGATGTTATTCGCGCATCCGATGTTGTCCACTCATTTAGGACGGTTTCCACTCGATCGACAATTCTACGGACTCGCCAGCGGACTCGCGCAACTGGGACACTCATAATTCCTTAAATACTTACTAAATTCATACAGATCCGTTAAGTATTGAAGGAATTATGAGTGTCCCACTTGCGCGAGTCCGCAGGCGAGCCCGCTGGCGGGTCCGTAGAATTGTCGATTTAGTTGAATAAACAGTATATTTAAATTAATGTTATCTTCTCAACGTAACAGTTGTGACTTGTGAGTTTAAAATTTTTTTTTCCGATCGACTTCCTTGATGAAACGCGTTCGTTGCGAGCTCCATGGTTGAATTAATAATAATATATGTATTAATTCAACCATGACGAGTTCCATCGAAGTCTGTATGCCAGGCGTGGCCTGCTCGGGAGGCTGCGCGTTCGTCCAAACCCTATACAGAAAGTTTAAGGCCTGATATATTCAAAATTAAAATAACCACCATACCCATATGTGATAGTATATTTCTTAAAGACGATATTTGGTGAAAAAATAGTCTCAAAATTTACTTGGAATTAGTTTCTTAATGTCTGTTGACCTCAAAACGTTTCGCACAAAAACCTACCTAAGGGTACGCACCCAGTGAAAGCAGGTTGCCAGTGTGCTGGTTACCTGCTCAGGCTGGCGCCTGAAACCATAGAATACAGAAGCCTATTCGTACAGGTTTTCATTGTGAACACTTACATTATTATCCTATGTTCATTCTTGTCGCAGGTTGGAGCAGGTTGCTCGCGCGGGCAAACCTGCTTTCACAGTGTGCGTACCCTAACCTGTTATCAAAACCTCCTGTTATCTCTGCGTGCCTCGCTCACCGACACGTCATGTCGCGCTCCGAGTAATGGGGTGTCGCTGGCGGACAAGTATAAGCTTGACCTTCAACCTAATCCCCACCTTAGAAGGCTCCCCGAGGAACTTTCTTGATTCCAAGAGATAGAATTGTTTTGACACACGCGTCTAACTTGACACATTTCTATAGCGTTTGGAATGCATGGTTATATTCATTGTATTTAAGAATATCATTCTGCTCTAAAGTGCGATAAAATGGGTAACACCGGAATTTCATTTTTGCCTAATTGCTGCATGAAAGACAGAGAAGCGTTTTTCCTAAATGGTATTATTAAATTTTCTGTAGGAGTATTGTCTTTTCTAGTCTATGATTTTAATTATATCAGAAAATCATAAGGTTTTTGAAAGTGTTTTAATACTTTTTTTTTGCGTAGGGACCAGGCATTTTTCTGATACATTTGTCAACACGTGTTATTAGATAGCAGTCTCATCAATAATTATCACGCTTTAAGCGGAACGACATATTGCAATAGTCCAAATTATTGAAGCCAGCAAGAGAGCTAGATTCTTCATGCGCAGGAAGTTTTCTCAAATCTTTGAAGACTCCAGATTGATTCATAAATGCAAGGAAAACGATGCCCTCTCTCGTCAAAATTCAGGCACATGCAGAGCTGGGCAGCGCTATTTTGAAACGTAACGGCCGCTACCGCTACCGCTACATGCTCTAAATGTAGCGGGCACTACCGCTACCGCAACACCCACTAGATTGTAGCGAGCGCTACCGCTGCCGTTACAATTGCTTAAATGTAGCGGGCGCTACCGCTACATGTAGCGCGCTACTGCCCACCTCTGGGTACAAGTTGATAACCTACACGACCAGATGCAACAATGCCCCCCAGCCTCCAGCCATGCCGCGCCCTCAGAGTGGCGTGAGCGAGCGGCGGGGTCGGTTGGCACAGGGGCTGTGAGCTGCGTCAGTGTCTCGCGAAGTGAACTTGTGAAGCTTGCATGGAATCAGTTTTAAACTCCTTTGAAACTGCACGCCTATTGATAATCGTAAATTTATATTGTATAAATTTATTTAAACGAATTTGGTCGCAATATATTTGACAGGCCTATCCAGGCCTATTCCATAAATGCCGAAAATACTATACTATACTATAGTAATATTAACTGAGCCTTTTGCTATTAAATAATCTAGCAGTAAAGTGTGCAATCATTGCGAGAATTAATCAAAAGACACTATATATATACACACTCATGAGTTTTGGCTAAAGTTCAATTATAATTCATACTCATGTATGCAGGCATTAAAAGCAGGAAAAAAATTTCTCTTTTGGAACCAAACTCTAACGCTCTGTCGGGTTGTCACTCATGAAATTCGCTCAATTCGGACACTGTCCAGTATCGTTATTTTCTCAAACATTTCTTTGGTATCTTAGTGCAAAACATTTCATACTAGGAAATTTCCTCAAAACAAGGACAAAAACAAGTCATCTTGTCAAAGCAAGAAATAATTGCGATACATATTTGTTTTTGTATTACCAATTTGTTTTTCATCAGCAGGTCAGTAAATATAAAAAAAATTCTGACATTTAGATTTTCTGATTTTTTTTTTTGAAGCCATAATGCTGAATTAGTTATTTATTTGAGGATGAACAAGACCCTAATAGACGATTTTCACAAATATTTTTTATAACGCCATCGATTCATTCGTGAATCGCTCAAGTACTGCTTCTCTCCAGAGAACGAAGGTACGTAATTGCTCGAACTATTGTCAACTTGTATCATTAATTTGCAATACTATTGCCAATTGGCAATTGCTCATGATGGATCTTAGGGACCTGTGGTGCTGGTAGATAGATTACGCTCCAAGGCGGTAAATTAATTATTTGCCTTCGCTGGGACGTTTGGGTGACGACGAGGTTTGCAGTTCTGCCATTTCGTTCGTAAATAGATTGTCCAGGGAGTCTCCATAAATACTTCTTACACAGAGTGTTATACCAGACCGTTACCTCCTCAAACGGACCCGTTGGCTACAGGTTGTATAAAATTCAATCCTCCAGGACCCCGAGGTTCATTTTTTTTGCAAAATGTAAAGTTGAACAGCCAAGTGTTTTAAAAAAGGTTGGATTTCATTGCTTTTGGAATCTGGGGTTGGGTCAATATAGGCATTTTTTTATTTTAAAATATAAAGGAACTTGACCGAACTTGTCCCAACCTTTTCCAGCTCTAACGTCCGAGTTCTACATGTAATTCTAACATTACGTACTTTTTTTTACAGCTTTTCAACCATTTATTACATTTTTACAACCGATTTTGTAATTCTGTTTTGGCAACAAGTGGTCCACAAAGCTTTCTGGTATTCTGGTATATTTCCCATTAATTAAAAACCAGAAAATACCACTTCAGTTGTACGACTACCAGAAAGAAGTAAACTCTCACTGTGTCAATCACGCTCATATTACATACAACCGATTCTTCAATATAGGAGCCACTAGTTCTCATATTGATTGGTGCCTCCAATTTCCCAGTCAGATGCAAGAATCCTAGTTTGTAGAATAAAATTTATGTTTTTGAAATCTTATCGTCAAATGGAGAACATGTCTAACATGCCGGGGGCTCCATTTCAGGCTTCATTTTAGCGTCTTCATTGAGAGGAAAAGTGAACAGATACGCTGGAGGTGTTCTGCGCTAAGGCGTATGCATGTTCGGTAAACTAGTTTCCACTATTGCTTACTTTGCCCTCTGTCACATAATATATATTAAAATATAATTGTTATACTTATATATAATCCTTGATTAAGATAACCTGACAACACTGCACTACACACATTTTGTTGGATGATAACACATACTGTTGATGTAGGAAAAATTTCAACATGGATGCAATCAACAATTTCCTCAAACAATGAAAACTTAGGCTTTCGTCATTACGAATGAAGAAATGTTGTTAAAGAGTTCTAGATAATTAATAATTTCACCGTACAGTCATCGAAAGAGTTTCGGTGACTAAATAACAACAAAACTTACCGATTAAAAACTTTTAATTGAATAAGAACTATATAGCGTATTAAAGGTGTAATATTAATGGTTTCAATTTTCCAGTCGCATTTCGACAACGGAGAGTCATTTGAAGCGATCTTTCGGTTCAAAATATGCCGCTAAGTTCCTAGCCTTTTGATAGGTTTTTATATGCTTTAATGCTCCATTTTTAGCGCATTTTCTCATTTATGGAAAAAAGGCGCTTTGTGCTCGTCATGTTCATCCGTCCGTGACTTCACGTCACGGACGGGCGAGAAAATGCGCTCTCTGTCACTCACTGCAGTGAGGACTGATATATTTTTCGGCATATAGCTTCCCATCTCCATCGTGTAAATTTGGCTTTTCTCTACGGATTGTACTTGTAACCTCTACAGTATATCTGTGAACTGATGATGGAGCTGCTCTTCGAAACGTTTTAGATGAAGATATGGATAATTTAACTCCCGTTTCCTTTGCTTTTATGTAAATAGTTAACTTGTGATTTGAGAAAACTAATAACTTCAGTGGATAAGATGGGGCAACTCAAATTCGATGCTGTTTGTCGTGTGTCTTAAATGAGGCATTTATCTAAATTGTGTTACCTCAGGTTTTCAATAAATTTCAGAACTAAAGTATTAAATCCATGTAAGTGGACATCTTCTCTAAAATTAATTCCGAAAGAAAGATCTAGGTTATTTTTATTTTATATATCAATTGTTGGCAGCGGGATAAGATTTTTCAGGTCAATCGAACATTTAATTGTCTACAATAAACACACGACCAAGCCTCAGGCCGCCGCACCGGTCGGTGTCGTCAGTCGAACAGCTTACCTTCTCCTGATGGCGACCTTCTAGGCTAGTTTTTTTGCGCCAGCCAAGTAAATGTTATTGCACAATTAAAAGTGATGTAAACACTCCGAGACAATAAAATTAATTTTTTTCTCAAATCTCAAAATTGAAGGTGTAACAAAATTAACGTATGATTTATTTAATCTAAATTGTTATGTGTTGAATAATAAAAGTTAACTCATGTTAAACTGGTTACGAGGCATTAAAAAATGCATTCTAATTTCAAACACAAAATGCAATCTAACTGATTTTGTTGGAAAAAATTGATTGAGACCCCTGCAGCTTNTAAGTCAAAAGAATAGTGTCGCGCTCCAACCTTTCTTAAACGCCTACTGGTTATCCAAACCAAAAAATAAGCAATGGACTTCCTATGGACTTAATTCATAAGAAATGGATATGAACTGGATCAATTGCAGTAATAAAAAATAACCATTATAACTTATTACCATTGCTAGTATCACTCTGCTCATATGTACATGTTAAATCAATTACAGGAGATCCGAAAAAGCAAGTAATAATTAACAGAAAGAAACTCCATAAGAGTGCCTTTGGCAACCATAAAACTGTCTCTTATACACATCTAGATGTGTATAAGAGACAGGTGTGGGAGGCATTTAAAAAAAAAAAAAAAAAAAAAAAAACCTTCCTACATGACCAAATGTCTGGATGTTGGGTGCATGCTGCATATAAGGTACTTGGGGCATTGAGCCCCTCTGCACGGTGCATAGTCTTTCATCAAATGAGTGACAGAGACCAGGCTGGGCAGTGCACAAGCACTGGAAGCCTCCAAAACCAACTATAAAAAATAAGAAAGCATGCAACGATTAATTCCAGGACGGCCATTGTTCCAGAGCGCGATACATAACATGCACAACGAGTCACGGCCGGTCGCTCTAGGGTGACTTTTAGTAAAGTATAGTATAGTATCTTCAGCATTAAAGAATAGGCCTGGATAGGCCTGTCGCCGATTCTTGCGCTTTTCTTGACTAGACTGGTCTTTTGATCAGATCTTTTCAACGGACGGTAGATTTAAAATCGATTTTAGATATCAGTTGTTCCGTAGGGTAAACAGGGGACTAAACATATGCTCTTGCATGACTTTTAGACGCCTTTCAGCGGCTGAATTCTTGGGAGGAATTCAGGGGACGAATTAATATGCCCGTTTCTCGAGAAATTTTAAAGTCAGGGTGGACAAGGCAAGGTTAATTTATATTTTCTACTCACTTCCCTTTTATGACTGAATACCTTCGAGGCGCAATTTATCATTAAACAGGTTAGCGGATCAATGACGCGAGTTACCTAATGAAACTGTAACAGAAATACTTGCTGATTGGTTACTTTTTTATAAGCTTTATCGCGTTAATCTCTCTTAGTGCTTACATAACTGTGATACTGCAATTCTTTTCTCTCGCCAACGTGCGACTATGCCTATGGATAATTTAAAGAAAAAATTCTCTCAGCAAAATAGTGAGTGATGTGCGATCTTAACTTTCATCAAACTCTTGAACATATTTGTCAAAGTTTGTGTGTGTTTGAAGCCTGTCCCGTAAAAAATAGCAACTGTTTGAACGCGTATATAAGATACGAAATGTGTAGGGATATTACTTGGATCTAAAAATTTAAACATAGTGGGAAAATAGCATGGCATTGCAAGTCGTAAAATTAGATTAGCTCGAAGATCGGCTTAATAATGTAAAGAATTTATAGTTGTCACTCTGCCACGAAATAGTTTTTCCTTATAAAACAATTGAAATAGAGGTTCTATGTCAAATGTGGGTTTGCAGTAGTCTTTTTTGGATTAATTAATTAGTTTTTCTGTAGATACCTTAGTTTCTTTAATTATTATTGTCATTCATGATAATGGGGTTTGAAATGTGTAAGAATTACTGATACCGATCAATATTGGTTAACCTACTATTAAAGGTTCAAAATAATATTAGTTTATTAATTATGTAAACCTTTTAACAACCATCTCGAAGGTTCGTTGTTTTAATTCGGTCCAAATTAGTGGCATGAGCAAAAGTTTGCAACGCTTTTACACGAGTAAGGCGGCACGCTGCCCTCTGAAATGCAGTTCGCAGTTTCGAAGGAATTCCCGCTAACTCGCACATCTAGCGAGAAGTTTGGCAGCTTTGGGATGTAGAGGGGGCGCTCGAAACGTCGCAACGTTTATTTTATAATTTTGCTGGTAATTTCATGGTAATTATTGTGATGGGTAGAACATGGTTGCAAAGCTAAATGCTGTTAATGTTCCATAGTGAATGTGAAATGGAACTTGATTCATTTCGCAAACCTGAAATTTGACCATGATAAATGCAATTTTTATTCTCTAATATTGTCCATTCGTAGATGAATTTATATTAGCAATGCAAGTGCACAATTCATCACAGCACAATAATGGGTGTAAAAAATAGAAATATTGCTTCATTTCACTGAACTATTGCTAATATTAATCGCAGTCGATTGAAAAAAAGTAACACGGTAAATCATTAAACATATTCATTAATATAGGTCACTTGAGTGACTTTCTATTTCAACTGGTACTGATTTGCTTCATCGTCATGTGTATGTTTTATTGATCCACCAGCGCAGGTAAAAAGTATTCACATACGTCGATGAGTAGCAGCTGTACGGGACAGTAGCCCTGCCCGCACGTCACCTATATAGACTATATAGTGTAGATGCTATAGCCATATATGTGACGCGATGCAATGGCTGTTGGTGGAGAGAACGGGTTGATAGGAGTGGCCAGTTTGTTCCTTATGTTCCGGTCTTCAGGGATCGTTTCTTAGTTGAAAACAACTTACTGGAGTTGACATTCTGTAGTTCTATTTACTTTTTACCGGAATTTTTTTTTTGGGGAGGGGGAGGGTGGGGGTTTG